CTCGTGTAGCTTTGCGCGAAATTCGAAACAAACAAACAAGTCAAATAGACCCAAAATGCAATAGAAGGGGTAAATTTACTATTCTATTTATCAGACCATTGATTCTGTATTACCGCGGCAATAAGGTAATAATGAGTTTCTTTGCAATATTGATATAAACAACATGACAAATACAGCAAGGTTCTTTACATTAAGAATACGTTACAGTCTTAATAAATAACTCTCCATCTGGTCATTTACATAACAAGTTTCCTCTGCATTAAAGTTAGAGCACAGTCCTGAAAAACTTACCCACCATCACTCGTTTATATGATGAGTACCCTTGCCAAGAGTGCATATTATATTTAATTAAGTTTACATTCATATATAGTTCAGTTGACTGATTAATGTAGCTTGAAGTGTGATTTGGTTTACTTAAAGGTTTATGTGAGATCTCTGATGACCTCGGAATTGCAACAGGATTAAAAACAAAGTGAACTGGAAGTGACATACATAAGCAAAAAGAGACGTAAATATCAGACATGTACAGAACTCGTAAACACATGACTTTACAATGAATGACTTATAGTACTGCTGAAACCGAGGTCTTACTTGAAATATAGACTAATCAGTATATGCATAAACAACTTGATAAAACAATCAAAAACTTGAGTGTTTTCAATTTCAAAATAATTTTGAATATGCAAGTTGGTAAGCCATATGACTGTAGCAACCACAACCAATATAAAATCACAGTAGAACTACATTTTTACCTTGTTTTGTGGTTCGTAGTAGTGTGATGCCATCGAAAATTGGCCATTTTTGGGAAATGTAGGAAGCAACTCTTTCCCACGCAAAATATTCATATTTTCAGATCATATAGACGTATTCAGATTGGGGATTTAAAATTTTCAAGACGGTATATACCTTGTATTTAAATTGAATGATATCGAAAAACAAGGGAATGTGGATCAACTATAGGATTACGAAGATACAGAAAAGAAACTTGCAAGAAATCATGCAGAAACCATGGTAAGCAAAGGATGAAACATTATAACAGGTGAGAATCCGCAAACACAAAGGTCAGTGGGAAAAGCCATCCACTTGCCTCAAGAGAAAGTACCCAACGTAAGCAAGAAGGATCTACATCTGTAAAAATAACACTATGATACAAGTGTTTTTATGACATATACATTCTATTATCACCCAGCTTAAGGAGCAGAATAATGAAAATAGTAGTCATGTTATTCAATACAAAAACGTATAGACCAAGTTACCAGATAAACATCTATAAATTTGTGTGCAATTGGACTTTTTAAATGGACACTGGGAAACAATCATTCTCGTATACTACATAGTTGAGTGAAAACAAACAGGGAGTAATGTTGTGCCTTAGACATGACAACCTTATGATGAAGCCTTTTGCACTATAAAGTATGCTGCTGAACTATCGTCAAGATACTCGCCTGTCAGGTAGTGCTTGACCAGATATAGTTACAAGAGCTGTAATGATGTGGTGAGACTCCAAAATTGTTTTGATATTGTTACGTATCTACTTGTTTGTTAATTTCCGGTAGAAATTTTTTCCGAGAAACTTCAGCGATACAAGTCCTTTCTTGATTAAACCATTTTATTCTTTCTCGATATAAACTTTTAGTACACAGGAATTCCACAGTCAGTACGTTTCTCGTCACTTTAAACTTAACAACTTAATACACGCTATAAATCACAGCAATTCACAATCTCGATAAAATCGTTCTCTAGGAGTGCAAAACACACACTAGCTCGAAACAGAATCGTAAATTACCCGAAGTTAACCGTGACTACTGTTCGCTTAACCATCCATCCCCCGGCTTTTCTCTGCCAGGCTTATATACTGACAAAGAGGCGTCTCTCGATCACACTCGAATTTCCCTGAGAAACTCGCATGCTCCCAGAGTCACGTGACTTTCGCTCTCGTAACAGTATAATATTTTTGACTTTTGTATACAAGTTTTATTGATTATAATTTTTACAAAGTTAAATATTTTTAAAGCCCGTTTAAAATTGTATCTTAATGTATACAACGGGCTATCTGTGCTGTACTATTCACGTGCTTAAGGAATTCTACCCGGTCAAAATTTATATTCGTATTCCCTTGTTTTACTACTCTCACAATTAAGTACGAAAAGAATGATGGGAAAGAGTTCCATATGGCACCCCCACCCAAAAATTGTAGAACTACCTGGATAAAAAAGATTCTGAAAAGGGTTTATTTTAAGGGGCGTATTAGAAAAAAATGGGGCATGGCTTTGACAAGCATTTGTGGGAATACATGTGGAGAACATTATATTCTGATAAAAGTAGCCTTTTTGATGCCTTTATACAAGACATTTGTAAAGTTTATTCCCAAGAAGATTGTACATTTAATTAATGAAGTAAGTGGTATAATAATGTAATAAAATTATCAGATCATACTATTAATATGATTTATTAATACATAAATATTACTTTGATGATTTTTTTTTTAAAATTGAGTGGGGGTGCCATATGGAACCCTTACCGAATGATGTTGTATCAACACTACAGGGGCGGATCCAGAAATTAAAGAGGGGTGATCCAGATGCCACTGTCAAGATTGCCTCATAGACATATTGAAAATTAAAAAGTATTTTCCATCATTTCTACTATACTTAGAATCGAAACATTCGTGAGCGATTTGAACCGTCAGGCGAAACTAAAGACTAGTATAGTATCAGAATTTTGATGAAAGCTCATAAGGGACAAATAGTCCTAACTACAGCTTATTCAGTGGCCCAATTAGGGAAAAGTGTGTAAAAATGAGGATTATATTACTTCCTTAAAGTTATACATATCACTGCTCATTGACTTTGAATATTGTACAGAATGTTGTTACAGTAGTAAGAAAATTTCCTTCCTGATAGTTTTACAAGATTGAAAATTGATAAGAACAGAATTTTGATATGAATATTTGATAGAAAACTATTATGACATTATGAATAGCTACTTAAGCAATAACTAGTAAGCTGAAAGTAAAATTAGTATGAGCTAAGTCTGTTTTATTAATACTGTTGATTTTAATGTGCTGTAGTGTTTTTGCGGCTTATCTTTATACAAGGTGTACCATATTGTTCTTAGATTTTCCTGTTATTAGTGTTTCTATCTTGTCAAGATTTAAGCTGTTTTCAACATGATTTAGTAGTATTGCTTTCTTTGTTAGTTTGAAAAATGTTAATGGTTCATTAAATTCTTTCATGCCTCTTATATCACAATTAAAAACTTGCTAGAATAAATACACCCATAATACATGTATTTTTTCATTCATCTATATTACAAGATCTTGAGTACAGAAGCTTACTACATTTGTGATGAACATGACAGTTTCACTTTCCAGTGCCATAATGGTTTTGAAATCCTCATTTGAGCTGCACAGCATACTAAGACTAAATATCAGGAAATATGAATAGCAGAAGTACAGCGTGAACTAATTTTTATTGATTGCCAATTTGTCAAGGCAATTAGCATGTCAGCCAATTGGTATCACCAGCATGCTAAGCAGCATGATTGAAAATACTCTGCTCAAGTAATTGCTTATTGGAGGTAATAATAAAATGGAATCACAATGAACTACAGATTTGTTTCCACATTTCTCTTAATTTGTCCATCATTAACACAAATGGAGGCCAGTTTCCTTTAATGGTTTGTCATGTATGAGAGTTTAAGCTAACTTTTAATAATCAATACATTTATAGTATGTGGTGACCATTAGCAGTGAGGTACTTGTAAACCTTATTGCACCATGTGCTTGTAGTCTAGGAACACTAGCTACAGCCCAAATTGAGCATCTTTTAAATTATGTGATATATTTAATATAAAAAAGTTGCATGTAATTAGAATGAGCTATGATTTGACAATATTTGAGAAGAAAGTGACACAGAGATTATATATATATATATATATAAATAGGAT